TAACCGTGGTCCTCGAATTAAAACCCAATTTTTGCCAACGTCGTTTTGCAAAAGCAATTTCTCTTTCCTTTTTCTGTTTATGGGCAAGTCTAAAACAAAAACCAACCAAATGTCCATCTTTTCCACAAAAAGAACAAGTGTACTTCTCACGACAAGTTTGTGAAGTAGATGGTTTTGAAATTGATGGTTTTGCAACAACAGAAGGTTTTGCATTCACAACATTTGATTTCGAAGAAGATGCATTCAAAGAAGACATGATACCAGCAGATTTAAACACAGTGTTCTTAGGCTCAGTTTCAATCAAAATTTCACCTCTCCTAGCAACACCCAGAACAGTAGGAGGATGTCTAGTATGATGAGCATAAGAATAAAAACCTAAACCACGATTGTGTGTGCTAACTTTAGATTGATCAAGAATCATGTTGAGGTTCTTTTTACCATCAGAAAATCTTTGCAAAGAACTTTTCAAATAAGAAACCTCTTGAGTAAGAATAGCACAATTTTTGCAAGCATCCAAAAGACCTTTTTTTTTCTACAAGTTGAGCAAGAAAACACCTCATCTTGTTTAACAATTTCTTCCATGTGTTTAACACGCCCTAAAGCATCTTTCAACTTCAACTCATTCAAAACACACTTTGAACAATCTTGAGAAATCAAAACACCATTATTTTGTTTTACCTTATTTGCACATGAAGCATTGACCAAAGAACTTGCACAAAAAGCTACTTTGTATTTTTTTCAAAATGTTCTTTGTCAAAATCAACTCATCAACAACACGAGCATGTAAAGCAAATCCAAGAGGAAAAGAAGATTCCAACTTTTTAGATTTTTCAATCTCAAATTCCAATTTATTGCAATTAACAGAATAAACATCTCGCAAAGCATTAATTTCAGAAAATAAAACTTCACAAGATTGACAATTATCATCATTAGGAATTAAAGAATTTAATCTAGCAATTTCAGCATTAAGAATCTCAATAGTGTGATCCTTCTCATCAAGCTCAATAGAACATGTTTGAAGTTTCTTAGCAAATTTGTAAGCAGCATATTCTAATTGATCATAATTAAGCTTTTCTTCATTATCATCATCAGATTCATCAACATCAGAACTTGCATTACGAGCAATAAAAGCTAGATCAACAACTTGCTTACCTTTGCCCTCATCTCCATCTTCCGGTTCATCAAAAACTTTTATGAGTTCTTGGATTAACCACTGCATGCAATGCTTCTTGTTCTCCTTCTCCTTCATGTTCTTCTTCTTGTTCATCTCATCATCTTTGACTCTACTATCATCTTCCTTCTTGCCTCTCCCAAGCTTAGGACAATGCGAGCGAAGATGATCAAGTGCACCACACTCAAAGCAACGATTCGGTTCTCCTCTTTTCCTGTTCCTAACATTTTTCATAGCTCGAGAAAATTTGTTAGATAACAAAACCAAGTCCTCCTCCTCGAACTGTTCGAGTTGATCATCGGACATGGCATTAAATAAAGCAAGAACAGAAGACTTTGATGAAGAAGCACCAACATCCAAAGAAGTCAAGGAAGAAACCAAAGCACTGGACTTAGAATTAACTTTACGAGCAAGAATATTCATCTCATGAGTTTTCAATTTTGTGTAAAGCGAATCCAAAGTCAAAGTAGACATGTTAACAGACTCCTGAATAGATGTAACTTTCATCTCCCAAATAGACATGTCAAGACCATTCAAAAAGTGGCGAGAAATCTCAGATTGTGGATAATTAGCATCATAAGAAGAATCAACAGATCTAAGATCACTCAAAATTTTATTAAACCGAGAAAGATAGTCATCCAAAGCTTCTCCAGGTTTCATCTCAAATTTAATATATTCCTTTTTAAAAAGATCTCGACGAAGCTCTTTAATGTTATTTGTTCCTCGATGAAAATTACTCAAAGCAACCCAAATCTCATGAGCAGTTTGAAGATGAGCAACACGATCATAATCAGAACGAGAAATACCACTCAAAAGAATGTTGCGAGCTTTGCAATTATTTTCAACTTCAGTTTTTAAAGCATCAGTATTAATAACTTCAGGAATCACATAAGGATGAGAAACTTTCCTCCAAATATCATAATTCTCAGCCATAATATAAGATTGCATCCTACTACACCAATGAGAAAAATCCGTTCCATCGAAAACATGAGGCTTAGTTGAAAACCAAGCGGGAGTAGCTATGGCAAAAACTCTAGATCGATAAAAATCCAAAGAAGCAAACAAGGCTCTGATACCACTTGTAGGATCGAATCACAAGAACTAAGCCAACCAGAGGGGGGGTGAATGGTTGGTATACCCAAAAACCGAAAACTTTTAGCGGAAATAAAAGTTACCCTCGAACTCGATGGAGATCGGTCTGACCGGAGTAGATTAGCCGGTCTGACCGAAGCGTAGCCGCCGGTCTGACCGGTGTTGATCTACCGGTCTAACCGCTGAGATCACCTGCCGCCCGCTGTCGCCGCCGCCGGTCTGACCGCCGTGTTCCCGCCGGTTTGACCGCCGCTTGCCGCCGGTCTGACTGCCGGTAGATCACCGGTTAGACCGCCGAAACCAGGTAAACACAAATCGAAGAACTCTTAAAGTGGATGACAACTTTATTGCTTCTCTCTGTGTTTACAAAGTGCACCAACAACACTCCTTACAAAAATCTCGACTAAACTTGAAACCCTAACTAAACTAGCTCTCAAAAGCTATACAAAAACGATATCGGGAAGCCTCACGCTCCCCCTCTATTTATACATGAGGTAGGCAGCCTAAAGCCACGAACCAAACTCATACTAAGAGTCCTAAACACCTTAGGAAACCCTCTAGTACAAGAAACAAACTTTACATAACCAATCATACCAAATTTGGACTCCTTCCAAATTCGACTCCGCATCCTATACGCACACAATACCTCCATCGTATGCCATATGGAATCTCCATCAACCACGTGCATCAACTCTAGCCTTAGTATCCCGCATGATATCTGACCACCACAGACATCGTCTTACCACCAAGCCGACTCCCGGTCCATCACCGCAAATACTCTCCCGAGGCATGGAGTCACCTACACATGAAACAAACAAAGAAACCATATTCCGAGACCAAGCTATCCCCAACTTGACTCATTAGTAGCAAACAACAGTATTACATACGTATAGAACCCATCTAGAAGCCATAACCATGAAACAATCACGGATATCCAAAGAAACAACCCGAAACCGAAACCGACTCAACATCGGCCGGTCAGACCACGGGCCGGCCGGTCTGACCACACACATAGCACCGGTCTGACCGGCCACACTAGCCCGGTTTGACCGGACACATAAAATGATAGAACCTGTAACCGGTCAGACCGGACACATAAAATGATAGAACCTGTAAATCCAATCATATCAAAAACCACTTCGACAATAATCTTCAAATATCAAAACCAATAATCACCGATGCCAATTGTTCATCACAGAATAAGAATCAAAACACACTTTGATCTTACATGCTTATCCAAGACGCAAGCGAATTCCTGAAATGTAGTCGCACAAATAAGGTTCAGTACTCTGATGTCCAATCAGAACTATCACAACAAAGAAGGATGCTGTTATATTCCCAGGGGCTGAGACACTACTCATCTTTCCAGAGGTAGATCATAGAAGCACTGTTGTCCACTATACATGCACTTGAGCATCATGAACACCAGCAGTTTGATCTCAAGTACGCAAAGAAACTGGGAGCTGGCAGCCTGGTACATGCAACAGTCGTGATCTTTAACTTTCTGCTAGGTTTAGAACGAATCCATGTGATGCGACCACGTATGTGACGTCATCACTTCAGATGTTCAGAACAAGAAATTTAACTCACAGTGTGTTTAGTTCATGTCAAAATTGGAAGTTTGGTTAAAATTAGAACGATGTGACGGAAAAGTTAGAAGTTTATGTGTGTAAAAAAGTTTTGATGTGATGGAAAAGTTGAAAGTTTGAAGAAAAAGTTTAGAACTAAACTTGACCTCAGCCTCAGTAGAAACAGAAAGAATACCGTAAGAGGCGGCAGAATAGGAAACTGCAAAAACAGAAGAACATTGATTTAACGGCAGAATGAGCTGCCTGCAGATTCTTTTTCAGAGCAAGAGCTAGGCAGCTAGCTACCCATGGTTTGACAAGAATTTAGGAATTTTCGCCTTCAAGTGGGTGTTTTTCCCTTTAATTTAAGCACTCAAAATGTATTTATTCCTGATCAAATTTCAGGAAACATTCAGTGAGAAGGCGATGAGAAGATGTGATTTGTTCATAGGGAAGTGTCAGGAAATCAGATAAACCCCAAGCACATGCAGCCGATAGAATCCATATTAGTTGGGATTTGGGACCTTTCAGATTTTTGACTAGCTAAGTGGCGATCGTAAGGTACAGTCTACAGACCAGTTGGGGTATTTACGTAGTACTATACCATATCCTGACGCTATTGATGGGCCAAGCTAAGATTCAGTTCTCATCTTAACCGCAACAGCTTTGCATCTTTTTAGTACCTATTTCTTGTCTGTCATCACCTGGATTTTACCTAATGCTTATTTCTGAAAGAACTCTTTTTTTTTCCATGACCACTTCAGTTAATTGTAGTGGTGCGCATCATGCAGCATGGTGATGTCGGTGAAATTTAACATATGCAACTATGCACCATCACATAGCAAACCATAATCACCTACATTTTTCATGTGAAGTATATAGTCCCTTCGTCCCAAAATATAAAAATCTAGGATGTGATGGGACATTTTCTAATACTATGAATCTTGACAGTCTGTTGACTTTCTTTACATGCCATGTGCTCTCTAATCAAATTAAGGGTGTGTTTGGTTGCAAGGATGGGATGGGATGGGATAGGACCATCCCATCCTAGGTGGTGTTTGGTTTATGGATCAGGTGGGTTGGGTTGGACCCAGAAGGGAATATTCTCTCAATATGCTGGGTGGGATGGTTCCACCAAATCGGTGGGACGGGGTGGAACGGGGCGAACCCGGATGCTGGCGCATCGCACGCACAGAGGGAGAGGGGGGTGAGGGGATCACACCTTTCTCTCGCTTTCTCTCTCGTTTGCGAGCGGCGGCGCGGGCGCTCGAGCTGACGGTCGGTAGAGACGGCGCCGGGCATCTGGAGGTAAGGTCGACGTCCCCTTCCCCTTCCCCTTCCTCTCCTCCCTCTGGCTAGTGTCGCCCCCTTCCCCTTTTTTCTGTGCATGGCATGCCGCCGGGGCCGGGGAGGGTGAAGAGAGCGGCGCCGCCACCGCTGGAGGGGACGGATCCGGGGTTTGAAGAGGTCGCCGTGGCCGGGAGGGGATTGGGGTCGCCGTGCCAGGGGAAACGAGCTCGTGGCCTCTGCGGGGAGTGGCCGGTGGTGGGGGGACAAGCTCACCGGTGTCGGGTGGTGGTCGAGCTCGCCGCTGCAGGGGAGTGGCCCAGGGTGGGGGTGGGGGAAGAAGCCGCCGCGCCGTGGGGGGGGGGGGGGGGAGGTGGCCGAGCTCGCCACCGGCGTGGGTTGTCGCCGCGCCGTGAGGGGGGAGGTCGTCGCGTCGTGGGGGGTGAGGTGGCCGAGCTCGCTAGCCGCCGCGCCGTGGGGGTGGGGGGAGTCGCCGCGCCGTGGGGGGGGGAGGTCGCCACGCCATGATGGGGGGAGGTCGCCGCGCTGGGTGTGGACCCCCGTTTTTATAACAGGGATCAATCGTGTAAACAGTACCATTTCCCTGGATCAAGTAGTCTGGTACACACGAGTTCATAGCTGAAATACCAAATGCACATACACGAGAGTCTAGCACGAATTATTACATCATAAGCCCGCAGGCATAGTCTTAGATCATCAGACCGTGCGGTCCAGAATACATTCCAAAAGCAGAAGTAGATAAGGCAGCGGAGTTAAGGCAGCAGCACGCCATTGCCATAGGCAACGACCATAACTAAGACCTACTGAGCGTCATCGTCTTCATCACTCTCCTGGAAGTAAGCGTAGGGATCCTCCGAAGCTTCATCTCCGGCCTCTGATTAAGTTTGTATATTGCAAGGGTGAGTACCAACCGTACTCCGCAAGCCACCACAGCAACAATGCACATGATAGGGGTATTTCAAAGGATGGCTATGGTTCTTTTGCGCAAAGCAAGTTTTGTAATTCTTTTCACTAGCCTAAGACCTAGCATTGACTGATCAAACTTTAGTACCAGTGTTCACATTTAAACAACGACGGTTCTGTCCACCATCCATTGTGATCCCAAGGATAGCTTCCCGCCATTGAGTCGTCATGGTTTTCTGAGGACGTCCACCTTCCCGCCTCTCAGGAAGTGGCTCCAACAGCATAAAAATCATCATGCAATAACCCATCCCACACAAGTTAAGAATTTAGAGTCTAGCCAAGTGTAATACATGTCCCGGTGCTCAATAACCGCGAGCACGGCTATTCGAATAGATTTGGTTTACTCACAGTGCAGTGGATGTACACTTTACCCGCACTCCGTGACTGCCCAACACATGAGCCTCGTCCCAACACATGAGACGCGTCATGGCAAAGCCTTTCGATAACCTCGCATTGGCAGTACCCGCTCCATGAACTTACTTCCTCATGCACTCTAGGCGTCCATGTTTCTAGCAATGAGAGGAGTTCTGGCGCTCCCGAGAAAGAGAAGTCTCACACACATATTAAATTATGGTTCAAGTTAAGTTCTCTCTATCACACACTCATGGCAGTCCTACCAATGGCGACACCGATGTAGGGCACACCTCTCGGCCCTACCTCAATGGCTATCCCACCGAAGCGCACCTGCCTCACTCAGGGGTGAACCATCTATGCAGGGATACTGCCTCCGCTCGGCTATCTACTCCGCTAGGTCTATACCCATACGAGAAGTGCGGTTGTACGGGGGTCGTTTCATGCTTAACTTTATGGCTCAGTCCTTAATTGACCGGGGACGGTACTAGCCTTTTCCAGATACCACCCAAATCCTCCGTCCGCCCCAGTCGAAAACAGTTGTTTTCACTTTATTTTCCTTTCACAAATCATGTCATCAATTTCATGGCAATGTGGCGCTCATGTCTCCACATGCCGCATCTCAATTACCTTCCCAAAGGTAATTGCCCAAGCATATAGCATTTGATAAATATCAGTATGCATGATTCTAGATTAGCATTTCTAAGCAATTGTCATAATTGACTAGGGACTCATACGTAAATATGGTTACGAAGGAATAGGGGTACACAATAATCAAGGCATGGCATAATCACAAGTAGGATATTCATCATTGCATGCAATTTTATTTGTAAACAAAATAATTTCGCAATTGGGATCAACATATTCAAGGAATAGTGATGACTTGCCTTGCTCGTAGTCCTGCGGGTCTTGATCCTCGCTCGGATCCGCAACTCCCTCGGGGTCTAAAAGTACGTGCGAAGAATTGATTTGAATTCCATTAGAATTCAAATAAAATCCAATAAAGACCAAATCGAAAAGCGAGCGCGAGAGACGAATTCTACATCAACTACATTATTTGCGAAATAGGACTATCCTATTTTAATTTACTCAACCTAAGATATTTTGTGTTTTATAAGTACATTCCTAAGATTTCAACATAATTATTTAGCTCTTAAATAAATCTAAATTCCTACCGCGAATTGATTACTTATAGAGATTACCAAAAATAATCTATAATTATATTAAAATTTTCAATTCTACGACTATAATTAATCTATAATTAAATTCTAATTATTTTAATTTTTTTCTAAACTTCTTAATCTCCCTCAAATTCCTATTTATTTTCCTTTTCTTTTTCTTTTTCTTTCTTTCTTTTTCTTTCTTTCTTTTTCTTTCTTTTCTCTCCCTCCCGGCTTCTTTCTTTCTCTCTCTCTCTCGGCTTCTGCCCACCTCTCTCTCTCGGCTCACGGCCTACCCGGGCGGCGATGGCGACCGGACGCGACAGGGGGGGGGGGGAGCGGCTTACGGGCAGCGGTGGCGGCGCAAGGCGGCGATGCACGGCGCGGCGGCTTCAAGGTGACGGCGCGGCGGCACGAAAGCGGCGGCGCGGCGGCATGACGGCGGCGGCGCGTGGAGAAGGAGGAGAGGGGGGGAGAAGATGGAAGGGGAATGGGTGTGGAGTGGAGAACGGGAGGGGCCGGGGTTTTATAGGGCGCGGGAGAGGGGGCGGCCGGCCCTCATGGCGACGTGACGGGTGGCGCGCGGTGCGGTAGTCGGCAGGCGGCGATGGCGATGGGCGGGCGGCGTGGCTTGGCACGGGGCTCGGCGCGATGGCGACGGGCGATGAGGCGGCGAGGGGACAGGCGCGCGGCGACGGAACGGGCGACACGACGGCGGGACGGGGCTCGAGGCGACGGCGGCACGCGCGGTGCGGCAGCGGGATGGCGACGGCGACGGCGCAGCAGCAGCGGCGCGCGGCTCAGAGCGACGACGGGACGCGACGGCGACGGCGCGCGGCGGCACGGGGCGCGACAGGACGCGACGGCGATGGCGACAGCGACGGCGACGGCGCGTGGCGACGCGCGACTGGCGGCAGCAGCGACATGACGGACGCGACAGCGACGGTGGCACGGGGCTCGGGGCGGCTAGACACGCTCGGCAGAGAAGGGGGTAGGGCTAGGGACCTCGTCGAGCACCTAGAGTGCAATGAACAATGTATTTTCTTATTTATCCCAATTTTAGCCTATTTCCTATATAAATTCTATTCTATAAATCCAAATTTTTGCATAAATGAGGTTTACCCAATTTTTATGTTATTCCAACCAATGGACTCACCCAAGATTAATATTACCCATATTTTATTTATATAATTTATTTGAATGTCTAATTAGGCTAATTTTTATTCTGTCGCACTGGAATTCAATTGTTACTAATATGGTTGTGATAATATTTTATTTATTTCCAACCTCACCTAATCTTTACTCCAAATTATATTTCAATTATTTATTTTGCTCATTTAATTTTAGGTTTTCTTCCTAATCAATTGTTCTTTATTCGCGATCTATAAACTTCGAAACCAAATTCCAATGAAATGAGCGAATAAAATCAGCATGATGCAATTTATTTAAAAAGTTTTTTGAAGGCCCATATTTTTAGAGTTTTGATTTTCGTTGGTCGAATTTTCAGGGTGTTACACCGGGAGGGGGGGAGGTGGCCGCCGGCATGGGGAGTGGCCGCCGGCGTGCTGTAGAGTTTCAATTAACAATTATTGGCTGTTTGGGATCCTGTTTGCTCACTGTTTGGGATTTTTTTTTGTTGTTTGTTTGCAGGTTAGGAGGCTGATCTAGTGAGATTGTTTTTCAACGGACCGCTTCCTGTGTTGTCAAGGTTAAAACCATTTATTTGTTGAATTGTTTGCATACTCATATATTTGCATAGTGAAAACCTGGATTGTGAAATGCGTTGCAAACATTTGTATTGTAGATGGATCAAAGGAGCAGGCTTTTAATTTTTGCTGCTGCTGCAAACATGTTAGTGTCGATGATGGCCCTTATTATTGAGTCTAGAAATAGGAGAGTGCCAAGGAGAGTAGGAATAACATATGGCCCATTAGTTGAAAGGGATAGAAAGATAAGTGAACACCTCGATGACCTCATTTGGAGAAATGATATAACTTGTATCAACATGCTTAGACTTAGAAAATCATCTTTCTTTCGATTTTGTAAACTTTTTAGAGATCGTGGCTTGCTTGAAGATACCATCAACGTGTGTGTTGAGGAACAAGTTGCTATGTTTTTACATACAATTGGACACAATCTTAGAAATAGGGTAGTTGGTGCTACTTTCCGTAGGTCAGGAGAAATAGTTAGTCGATATTTTAATTTGGTACTTCATGCGGTTGGAGAGTTATGAAATGATCTTATCAAGCCCCCATCTTTGGACATCGCACCTAAAATAGCAGGCAACCACAGATGGGATCCATACATTAAGGTGTGAGACTTATCGACGCTTCTTTTGTCCATTTGCTACTAAATTGTACATCCTAAAAAATATTGTCTTACCCATCATTGAAATTAATTAGGATTGTATTGGAGCTATTGATGGCACACATGTTAGAGCATCTGTCCCAAAGAACATGGAGTCGTCTTTTCGTGGTAGGAAGAATCATGCTACACAAAATGTAATGGCAGCAGTAGATTTTGATCTTCGGTTCACATATGTGTTGGCTGGTTGGGAGGGGGCTGCACATGATGTTGTAGTTTTAAGAGATGCTTTGGAACGTGAAAATGGTCTTCATGTCCCCCAAGGTAATAGATTAAATTAGTGTATCATTTTTATGGTTACTAATTGTTAATATGTAGAAATATGATGAGTTGCCAATCACGTTATAGGAAAATTCTACCTAGTTGATGTTGGATACGGAGCCAAACCGGGATTTTTGCCACCCTTTAGAAGCACCCGGTATCATCTAAATGAGTGGGGAAACAATCCGGTCCAAAATGAGAAGGAGTTGTTCAACCTTAGACACTCATCCCTTCGTATCACTGTTGAACGTGCATTTGGGTCACTGAAGAGGAGGTTCAAAATTCTTGATGATGCCACACCATTTTTCCCCTTTCAGACTCAAGTAAACATTGTTGTAGCTTGTTGTATTATTCATAATTGGGTGATAAATGATGATATTGATGAGCTTGTGATGGGCCCAAATGAGTCCATAATTCAAGACAACGATACTTCTACGGTTGGCCAACCAAACGACCACGCATGGATGGTTCAATTTAGGCAAGGACTTGCAGATCAGATGTGGGCCGATCGTCAAAATCACCATGGAAACTAAATTGTGCTTGTACTATTTAGCATTTCAAAAACATGTTTGCATTCCTTTGTGTGGATGTATTGTCAAGACTAAATTTATTTGTAGTTGTACTATTTGTATGGACTACTTGTATGATGAATTTAAATTGTACGAACATATGTATTGATGTATTACTCTTGAATGACCACTGTGCTGATTTTTTTTTACTCTTGAATGTATCACTCTTGAATGACCACTGTGCTGAATTTTTTTACTACTGAATGTATTACTCTTGAATGACAACATATGTATTGATTTATTACTTTTGAATGACGGCTAGTGTATGGTTGCTAATCCACATTTTCATTTATTATGGCAGCTAGGATATGGACACCAACAACGGAAAGGGAGTTGTAGCCTCATGGACATCATCCATGTCATCTTTGATGCTCTCCAATTTGGCCAATCTGGTGGCTAGTGGCACAAGGACATCGGCTGGTTTTAAGCAGGTGCATCTCAATGCATGTGCTAGAGTTGTGAATGAAAAGTTTTCGACAACACTCACCGGGGATCAGATTAGAAATCATTTGAAGACATGGCATAAGAAGTTTCAAAAGATTAGTCGTCTTAGGAAGGTGAGTGGAGCTATTTGGGACGAAGAGAACTTCATTATTAGCCTTGACGAGGAGCACTACAATGACTATATGCAGGTATATACCTTACCAACTTCAATATGATTGTCAATTGCTTCAATTACTTGTTTCTAATGCATCTCACAATCATGACAGCATAACAACAAGAGCGATGCTGAGTTTTTCAACAGGCCTATTACCAACTATGGTGAGATGCTTACCATATTTGGTAGTACCATGGCTATAGGAAATTTTGCAAAGGACTCAAGCTCAGTTCTAGGCACTGAAGATGTCGAGGGTACAGAGAATGAAGTGAATGAAGATGCTCCCACAATAGATCATGATGAGAGATCATCGGCTAGCAAGCCCAAGAGACAAAAGACATATGCACATGACGATGATGGTTTGGTTGGTGCATTTGACAGAGCTAGTGACAAACTAGCAAATGCCATAATAAGGTCTAGCACAGTTGGGAATGAACTACCTGATGATCTATGGGACAACTTGAATAGCCTTCCAGGTTTTGAGCAACATCACATCTCTTTCTACTATCACTATTTGGTTGCTAATCCACATATTGCTAGAGCTTTCAACGGTCTTCCATTTGCGAACAAACTTGATTGGGTTGCTATGTACATCAGCGAGAAGTTTCCCGGTGCTATGTAGGATACCATCTTCATGGAAAGATTGGTTATTTCACTATTATGAACTATTTGTACCCTCTCATTTTGTATTGTGTGTGCACCGTTAATTTGGGCTATGTGTAAGACTTCATGCAATTATCTACTATTATGTGAGACTTTGAATTGGAAAATTTGTGGATTTCAATTTTGTTTGAATCGCGCCTTGTCATTTGTGTGCCTCTAATTAGGTGTGAAATGACATATGCAATTCCATTATTTGTTGTGGTTATAGGTAATGATAACATGTCCAATCCATTGTGTTATTAATTGCAAAATGTTCATATTCATATATTAGATTGATTTTAAATATAACTTGTATAAACAAACACACAAATATGTTAGGTTATTTAAATATTAATCCTACTATCTCATATGTTGTATTTGAAAGATGGGAGGTAACTTGACCAACTCATTGTGGAAGGTAATCATATCTTGTCATCCCACCTCCATCCCTTGAACCAAACAAGGGATGGGTTCACTCCATCCCATCTCATCCCTCCAACCAAATAAAAAACTGGGTCCAACCCATCCCACCAACCAAACAGAAAAATGGAACCAACCCATCCTGAAAACCAGGGATGGAACCAACCCATCCCACCTAGTCCACGAACCAAACACACCCTAAGAGTGCAATGGCTGGTACCAACCAAAGGGAGCGTATACAGTAACTAGATGCATCTTGAAATTGGAATAACGGAAGAACATTATTGCTTTGAAGAAAGAAAAGAAAAATGAGAGGTAGGCCCCATCAGCAACATACGGTTAGATTTGTATTAGCGATCGAGGATGACCGGCTGCCAGCCACACTGTTGTCTCCACGCTTGAGAGTCACTAGAGCGGTAGAGCCGGCGGCAATTCTGCGGCGCGCCTCAAGGTGGCCCGGCGACCAGGGTTTTATATTGCCTCAGGAAGTGATGCCGGCGGAAGACATGGCGTCGCGCCAGCCAGCACTGGTGGAGAAACCGTTTGTAGGCCCGGTTGTCCAACCGGGACTACGAATCCGGGACTAAAGATGGGTGAAATAACCGGGACTAAAGATCGATCAGCCACGTGGCCGGCCAAACCATCTTTAGTCCCGGTTTGTATTACCAACCGAGACTAAAGATCTGTGCACCATTTTTTTTATTTGCATGGCCCTGTTTGCTGCATGGTTGATTATATATATATATATATATATATATATATATATCTGTGTGTGTATGTATAAATCATATATTACACACACATATGTATAATTTAAAGCACTTAACATTTTATGTGCATATATATATGTTACCAAAATATATATTAACACAAAAGTAAATGTGTACATATATAAATATATATATACATGCATATATAGTACAATTCATTTGCTCGGTAGCTATAGCTACGACTTCGACGCCGGCGTTATGTCAGAAGAGGAAGGACCGACGTTATGAATTGTCGATCCGTCGTAGTAGAATTCACCGTCGGGATTAAGGACTTCTTCATTGATGAATCCCATCAGTTGTTCTTGAACAGCCGTCATAAAATCCTTGTGTGGGAGATTATCCCTCATGTGAATACGCTATCATTTAAAAAATAATGACGTATCAATATATGAAATTAATAAACAACTTAACAAATCGAGCAATGAAATTTTGAATGGTTTATGTATACGTACATCGAGCTCTCGTGTTGTGCATATTTGTTTTGATAGGCAGTGGGCATACTCGCATACGTAGTAGCCGCATAAGTTAGTTCCCTGGTCCTGCTTTGCACACTACATGAGAAACGATGAGAGATTTAATATACTATTTATATTAACTGTAATTAGAGATTCAATTCAATATAATTTTGGATCATGCATGTACTCACTGGAAAATGAAACCTCCGTCCAAGTTTTTCTTTCTAAGTCCCGCGAATCAATTGGCGGAACCGATCCCAAACCCTACATATGCAGTTGCCTATGATTAATTAATTATTACCTGAGATCAACATAATAGCAATAGATTCCCCGCGACTTTGGAATAGATGGCATTATATTACCTGTCTATCAGTTTGAAGACCTTGTCAAAAATCTTCTCCTCTTTATACATTGAGTCGTACACAGTGACTCTACATGCGTCCAAGTCGAAGAATAACAGGACCTAGTGGAATCTGGAATATGCGTGAGATGAGATATATATGATCGAAAATGTACATGCTATATGTATGGGAACGAAATTTGTTCGAACGACAATAAAAACTCACTCTGTGTTGTACGGCAGTAGTATGTACATCTTGAAATGCTGCTGCGTTAGGAGATGGACGAGATTGTCCTCTGTGTCTTTCTCGTACTTGTCGATCATTTCGGTGTTGATTTTTCGAGGGTCAATGAACCCAGTATCGTAGACCCTCCGCCGTCGGGCCCTTTGAATCTCCATTCTACAACGATGAAAGGAAAGTATTATTGCTTACATATATGCCAGGAGCTAATTATTGAACGAAACAAATCGAACTCAAAGATACTCACAAAATCCATGCGCTCAGAAGAGAGACGTCGAGGGCGTCCAACTGGTACAAATCGAAGAGATCCTTGAAATGGATCCAGAGAACATCTTCTCCTTGCAAGAAGTCGGGGTTTCTGATCCTCGCTCCGAACATCTCTCTACCCTTGGCGCTCATTTCCATGTACCGTTCATGGAATTTGTACATCTGTGTCGGTAGGGACTGCAGCTGTTCAGGTTTGACAAGCGGTTTACCGAGTTCAAACTTGTATGCCACTTCCGCCTTCGGGATTGGTGCGCCTCCAACCAACTGATCCACAGTTAGACCGGTGTCTGAAATGAATTCCATTATGCCAAAATCTTTGCCGGTCACCAACGGCTCGACCTCTTGGTTTGGTTGTTCTCCAAGCTGAGGGACTGGTTTGGACTTCTTGTGATAGGCTCTCTGAAGTGTTCGGTCATAGTCCGATATCTGTAACGCCTCCTTGTTTGTTATGGACATTCCCTTGAAGAAGTTCTTCACGCTCGGGTCAATAGGTATCTTCTTTTTAGGACTCCGAGGCTTGAGTTGCCTCTTCACCTCTCCTGCCACATAAGCATCAAGCTCCTCTTGACTGCAATCATATGGTGGCTCCATGTTTTTGGTGGCGTCAACTTTCGCCTTGTTCGTTGCCCTTATGCGTGCAGGCGGTGGAGCTTGGCGAGACCTTGTCTTGGGAGGTGCAGGCGGACACGGTGGAGGCGGAGGAGCCGGAGGAGCCGGAGAAGATGGTGCAGGAGGACGTGGCGGAGGAACCGGAGGAGATGGTGCAGGAGGAGATGGCGGAGCCGGAGGAGATGGTGCACGAGACGCCGCTTGTCACCCAGGAAGGATGATGTACCGCTTGCGCCATAGTATGATGGCGTGGCTTGTGTCTCGTAGATGCGTCTCACCGTCTCCTCCTGGGTAGTCTAACTCGAGGTCCTCGTACGCGGCTTCCACCAGCTCAACTTCGACCCTCGAGTATCCTGCTGGAATCGGCCTGCAGTGGTAAGTCCCGGAAGGGTCCGTTGGGATGGCCATTCCCGACGCCACCTTCACGTGATCAGAGGTTATCTATTAGTAATCAACCTAAGCAGCAACTTGCGGAATGTACAAGTCAAAAATCTTCAAACTACGAGCATACCTTGATTGATAAGTTCTTGAAGGGAATATGCAGCTCACGTGGTGTCCGCTGCGCGATCTCATCAACGGGGCAGGTGGTTTCGTCATGGGTTTGCATGGCGTCCATGCTCTGTGATCCGACCTGCCCCGTTGAGGCGCAGCTGCTACGATTGCCTGATGGGCTGACCATTGCAGGATGAATGTACGGCTGGGGATCCTGGGACCGATGTGCGGCCATACGTTCATCCACCTTCCTTGCCACCTCCTCTTGCGTGCTGAGCTTGTAGCTCGATACCCTGTACTCAAGATCTGCAATCTTCGCCTCGGTATCTCTCTTGCTCCTCATCCGACTCCTATACGTGTGGATGTCCTCCTTAAATCCAATCTTCCAGGGAATCACGCCTTTCCCTCGTGTTCGTCTTGGATGCTCGGGAGTCTGTAGGGCGAGTGACAGCTCATCCTTCTCTCTGTCGGGTCGGAATGTGCCCTGAGAAGAGGCTACCACTGCATCCGTTAGTCGACTGGCAGCCTCGCGTATCTGATCGCTGAAGACAAGGGAGCCATCAACTGGGTTAAGTGTTCCACCGTGAGCATAGTACCAAAACTTCGATCTATCCAGCCATTTAGCAGTGGCCGGTTCGATACCCCTCTCAATCAAACTTGCCTCCATCTCCTCCCACTTCGGCATTGCGACGCTATATCCGCCTGACCCCAGGTGGTGATGGTACTTCTTCTTGGCGGCATTGTCTTTGTTTCTGGCCATCATCGCTTGCCCTTGTTGCCATGTCTTGTAAGCAACGAACTCGTCCCAATGATCCCTTAGCTTTGGGAATACGTCGAAGTTCGGTGTTAGTCCCTTCAGGATGTATTTCTTGTAGAAATCTCCCTTGAAGCTCTGGAACTGTTCTGCCATTTTCTTCAGAGTCCACTGTTTCACTATGTTCTCCGTACCCGCGGGTAGCATGAACGTCTCGAGCATTGTGGTCCACAGCATCTCTTTCTCTGAGTCCGGGACAAAGCTGTCATTATCCCCGCGTGCCCTTGTTCTGCGCCAGTACACCGTGCTGACAGGTGTCCCTCACAACCCAACCGCTGTGGCGTACAAAATTCTTGGCTGCTTCTGCCGGGGCACTAGGTCGGCCGTCTTCGTCCACCTCAGTTATGATGTGCCGACCCTCTATCTTCTTCGCGGTACCTCGTTGTCCGCGTGCCCTCTTCTGTCCAGTGGATGACTTCCACTAGCCTCCTCCTCATCGTTCCCCTCCTCGTTCAAGTACTGGTTTGGATCCTCGTTCCCCTCTCCTTCATTCCAGTACTGGCTGCTTCCCTATGCGATTGTATCGTATAGTATCTGTTCCTCATCGCGATCAGCCATCTGTGCATACAAAAAATATTTGTTAGGTATATAGGATGTATTTGCGTACCGTAATATTAAAACTCTGCTAATCTTATATTAAATCTCTAATAATCTTATATTAAATAGCTACTAATCTCATATTAAAATTGTAATAATCATATATATATATATATATATATATATATATATATATATATATATATAT